ATGTTAAAACTAGAAGATCATCGTTTTCCATTATTTTATGGTAAATATTATAATGACTAGTGACTCCATAATGTCAATATTTAGTTTCACATAACTAATTCATATTGTTTGTCATCTGGTATTTACATGACTTTTCTGCACCTTTTCTGGGTCGTTACTTCTATTAAAGTTGGTGAGTTTCTTTCAGTCGTTTTTCTTATCAGCCAAAAGGCTTCCTGAACGTAAAGTAGGTAATAAATTGCTGAACTACTCAAAAGTACTAGAATCTTAAACGTGAGCTAACGTAAGTTGTGTCTTGAAGTTCTCTACTTCAGGGAGAAAACAAACTTCTCTAGTTTATGTAAACAATGAATACAAACCTTTCTCATCTTTCTATATTACTTGACGCACAGTATTGTATGATTTAATATACATATACGAGCATATAAGCTCGTTAATAACTTTGCAGGATCAGAGCTTCTTGAAATTAATCTTAACCTAATATCGAACACATCCACTCCCTTACCATGTATTAGATGCTAACGTTATATCAATGGCTACACGAAGGTAATTCATTAAGGCAGTACATTGATTTTGCGTTATAGCTTTATCAAGATCATGGTATAGCAAAAATCATAAATTAATAGTGTAGACAAAATAGAGTATTATATAAAATAAAAACGTAGATATCTTAATGAATACTTAATTGGTTCTGATCGGTAAAGTCTGATTTGTTTTATTACCTTAACTTTTAACTAAATATGGTTGTATAATTTATGATATATTCTAATTATATTTAGTGTTATGTAAATTACACATATGAGAGGAGGAATTCACATTATCATGAGTTCTAGTTTATTGAAGCGATATTATCGGTAAGTACAAATTGCCGGAAATATATTAATGTCTTGGGTAACTTGCCGCATAAATTGCAGCACAATCGACTATTAAGGAGATAAAATCAGGCATGCGTTATGACCATAATTACCACAATGTTTGTTTTTTATCAGAAAGTTTGAGATGAGGTTTGAAAAAATAGTTTTGATATCTTCAGAGTTATGCCTCAACTATTAACTGAAAGTTAAATTGTAATCGATTATATGATAAACCGCGTATAATTTATTAATTGCCCTCAAAATACTTAAAGAATGCTTATTTATAATTTAATTTATGTAATATGAGTATATATTTTATGTACTTCATTCGTTTATTAGTAACTTAACAAAGAAGCTCTTCTTTTAGATGTAAAGGATGAGCGAGGCTTTCCCAACACAATTATCATAAGACTACTTTCTGAGAAGCCCCGGCCACATATTTGTATGGATTTATTGAAATAAAAAATACTTTTTCTTTTCTTTCTTTTTTCTTCTTTTTTGTTACGATTCTTATACACGATCGTTAGGTGTGCATGATTGTGATTGTGATGATAAATGTTTCAGAAACTATGTTTGTATTGTTTTAGGTTACTGACCTCTTAATTGCATCCAATTAAAACCGGCTAAGTGGGAGCCGAATTTGTGCAAAACTGTTCTCACGCTTATATACTCGTACTATTAAAAAAAAATCGCCTGTTACAAGTTTTTCTGGATTCTATATAAAAAGATTTCCCTTAAAAATTGTTGCCTCAACCGTTTTAGAGATAAATGAAAGTGGTAAATATTTGATCATTTCATTAGAATAAGATTTATATAAGAGAGATATGGATTTGTTTTGAATGTCAAATTTACATAATAATTCTAAAAAGCGGCTCATAATTAAAATTCATGAAACTTGTATTTTTATTTTTGGGTACAGCAGATTTGAATTTAGTTATTCAAGTATATGTATACAAAGTGAACAGTTATTATGAAAGATACCTGAACAGGCCGTCGAATAAGTAAAAGAACGGACTAGCAGAAAATATAAGAGCTTAACTTTTTTTGACACGGAACCCTAATATAAGCTGATTTGTTCCATCTAATCAAGTACAAGGCATGAACAATAGTGTACGATTACATAGAAAATTCCCAGTCGAGATTGATGATAATAGGTAACATTTTATATAACATCACGCGATTGCATTTAAAGTTTCCATTAAACAAATGTTAAATAAATGGAATTATGGTACAATTAATTACTCTACATTAAAATCGGCCTACGCATTTGGTTTCTAGAACGCCACATAGAAACAAACATACATACAAACATAGACTGATAAACACATTACCCTCCTTTGCGTCGCGCAGTCGGGTAAAACGGCAAATTTGTTGTATACTCATCGTATTCCTGTACATTATGAGGATTCTCTTACAAAAAATGCGTCAAGAGCGAGCCGGCCACGTGCATCAGACGGTTCCATACAAATTTTATATTTTATACCAATAGATTAAGGCCCCTCGCCCACGGCGACTTTTTGTAGCGATGCAGTCGCGATGCTCTCGCGCGTAGCATCGATACAGACGCGAAGCAGTCGCTAGCTGTGTGCCCGCGCCCACGGGACCAGATTCAGTCGCAATGCAAACGCGGTTCGGTCGCGATGCAAACGCGATTCGGTCGCGATGCAGATACGACACAAAAATCTTTAGAAAAATCATATAACAACAACTGATGACCAGATGGTCATCAGTTGTTGTTATTATGACCAGATGGTCATAACAACTGATGACCAGATGGTCATCAGTTGTTGTTATTTGATTTTTGTTTTCTGATTTACTCATTCTAGAACATCTCATCATCCTCAACACTCATCTGCGTTTTTAATGATAAAGTACGGTATATGCGAAGTCCGACTCAAGTACATTGTAACACATTTTGTGTGTGCGGAGGCTCCAATACTAAAGTTAAATAAATAACTTACCACAATCATTCTTTTCTTTATTGGTTTTTTCTCCAAATTCTGCATTGAATAATTCATTTATCTCTTCCCATGCCTTTCTTTTTGCAATCTTATTCGAATACTCAGGAAGACGTGAGTCCCGATCGCAATGCAGTAGTGCGTTAGTAGCGCGACGCGGTCTCGCGCATTTATATCGATACAATCGCGATGCAGTAGTGCGTTAGTAACGCGTTGCAAATGCGACTAACACGCGTTAGAAAAGATGCAGTCGCGCGTTTAGCGAACGCGCGACTGTATCGCTACAAAAAGTCGCCGTGGGCGAGGGGCCTAAGATTAAGGACTATTTCTATATATATTTTTATTAGATTCATAAATAAGTAACAGGTAAGCAAATCCAGAGAAGAGGAACTCGATGGCGCATTGGTTAGCACACTCAGTCTGCAATACGGTTAGGTTGGGATTGCGATGGGTGACCGTTAAGCCGTTTGCCCCGGTTGCGTGTGCAGTCAATGACCTACCTTATGGTACTAGGACCATAAGGTAGGCCATGACTCATTTTTTTATTCAAATCTATCCATAGGACTAAGCCGCAATAGTGAGAACATTAATAGACTGGTGATGAAACAAAGTCTTAAAAAACTATTAAAAATGCATATAGCATAGTACTGATGGTGAACACCTGCCGTTTTTTCTTTGTCAATGATTATATTGTTGTTTTTTTGTGAAAATTTAATTGGGTAAAGTAAATCCTGAATCGGTTCAGTACTTTTGTTTCAAAACAAGTGGAAGGATTATAAATTAAATATAATAAAATACTATTATATACCTATACATATCATAATTATTGATACAAATCATAACGGACAGTACAATTGGAGGCGCTATCGCTAAAAAGCAATATCTTCCAGGCAACGTAAATATAAATATTTCCAAACAGGATAAATTGAAAAGTAAGGTATTTTTATATTTGGTCAATTTTGAATTCAAAATGCTATATAAAATAACGCCTGGATTGTGAAAGGTTCGAGTCCCATTTCAGAGTTCCAAGGACAAAGTGTTTTTTTTTTTTACATTTTTTATTAAGTAAGGTGTACAAAGTATCGTCGAACCATTCGATTTACCTTCGATTGCCAATCACCTCATTACATTATATTTTTAATTTAATATGTTTGAGAGTCTAGCCTAATCTAGAATCTAGTCTAATCATATTTAATGAAATGCTATTCACCAAAGTTGCATTGAAATTTATTTGGTAAAGTAAAATTTTATATAAAATTTTAAAAAGTAGATTGCAGCTAACAATAAATATATAGTATAAGTATAGGTGTATATGCGTGTTTTGAGAATTGTTTTTTTTTTTTTTTGGGTTCTCAACCTTACGGGTTCGGACCCACCTTCCCATCAACGGAGGAAGGAGGCGGTGAATCCTTCATTGGATACCAACACAGCCGGCTGTGAGGGTTATGTCAGACTCCTACTGACTAAACACCGCCTTGGACTATTGGTTGCGGGCCCTGACGGGGCAACGAACCTTCATCGGAGCGACTGCCCCCCCGCAAGGGGGGGGGGGCAGCGCAGACGTCCCTATTCACTTACATGAATAGTGACGTCGAGTTGTTAGCCGTTATCCCCGGGGTAACGGCTTATCGGATAAAGAAATTGAATTTAAGTGTAGTTTAAATTTATGTTAAGTTAGGTATTATTTGCTAATTAACTAAATCGGATTGAGGTTGGCCTGACGGGCCAGAAGGACTCGGGGATCGAGAATTGATTAAAATATTACTTCTTATATAGTAGGGGGCGAAAAGCCAAAATACTGTCTGTATCTATCACATTGCGCTTGGAAATGTAAAAAGAAAAAGAAAGAATGAAACGAGAATGACGAATAAAAAGTTTTTTACAAGGTTTTATATAACTTGCCTTGTTAGTGTGGAAATCTTGAAACTCAAATTTGATCTACTTCCCAATGCGCGATAGATTAAAAATTTTGCATAGATATGTAAGTCAGTCAGTCATGACAATGCAATTACAATAAGAAACGAAAAAACGATAAATTGGGGTAATATTGTCAATAAGAAATAAATTAAAAAAACAAAAAGTAATAAATTTATCAATTTATTTGAAACAAAATTAACAAGTACCTTAAATTTTTATTCGTAATTAAAAACATGACTTAATCGTAAGAAATAATTATTCAAACAGTTTCTCAAATACCACATACATAAGGGACACTACGTTGCAATGCATTAACTATAAAGCTGTTGACAGGAGTGGTGCTTATAAGGCTGACAGAAATATCAGTTTTTGGGAAAAATCTACTTGAGAAAGTCAACTCACCGTCACCACAGAACAATTCTATAGAGCTAGCATCGACGAATATTTGCCATTTTATATTTCCTTTTGGTATCCATTTAGCACGTCGTACTCCATCTTTACCACCACGATTCAAGGATACGTATTGAGATGCGCTATCATAGCTGAGAGTTGCTGTAGCAGACGAATCATTAGATTTTATGACCACATCAAAACTTGTGCCTCGCTTTGCTGTGACGAGTATCTCACCAATTTTATCAATCAATGCTACTTTTACTTTTGTCTTATTTGAGCCTTTGTACAAAGTTTTATCTCTTATTGTGGAAATTTCTGATACTGGTTTCTGTAGGAGGCTGTTGTTTTTGGAAAGTGTCAATGTTCTGGGTATAGTCATTTGCCCTGTGAAACCATCTTTTGCTTCTGCATAGTTAGTTTCCCACATGTCGAGCCAAGCAATGACAATTCTGCGACCAACATTATCTTCAATAGATTGTGTAGCATAAAAGTCATGACCATGATCTAATTCAATAAATGGAGTAATAGGTTTGAACTTTTTAGTTCTATAATCAAAATTGCCGACTATATAACCAGTCTGATAAAGATTTTTGTACGAGTCCCCTTGTGGTTCGACGCCTTGTGGTGAAAACATGAGAATAAATTTTCCATCAATTTCAAAGAAGTCTGGACATTCATACATATAACCCAGAAAACCATCAGATTCAGCAAGAATTGCAACTTCGCACCAGTTATATTTATCCTTGGACTTGTATAAAAGAACACGACCATATCTTTTATTGTGTTTTACGAAAGAATTTCCCAACACCATATAATATGTTCCTTTGTGCTTCCACACTTTCGGATCTCTGAAATTAGGTTGACGAGCCTCACCAATAATTATAGGATTCTGTTGGTATTTAAATATATGATAACCATCGTTACTTAAAGCAAGTTCTTGTGTCTGTTGCGTTTTCCCGTTGCCAGTATAGAATAAATACATATTTCCATCTTCAACTATAGCGCTCCCAGAGAACGCTCCAACATCATCGTATGACTGATCTGGAAAAAGTGCTATTGGGAGATGTTCCCAGTGAAATAAGTCTTTGCTCTTAGCATGTCCCCAGTTAGCTATTCCAGGTTCTAAACTGCTGTTGGGATTGAATTGATAGAATAGATGATATTCATTCTTGTAAACGCAGAATCCGTTGGGATCGTTCATCCATCCGTAAGGGGGAGCCAAATGGTATCGAGGATAGAATCTTGGATTTACTGTGGCTTCTATACCACCAAGTAGTAGCAAACTAACAACAAATAATATTTCCTTGATAGCGTAGTTAAAACAACTTTTCATTAGTATACTCATCTTGATATTGGTGGCTTCAGTTATCCCTATTTACACAAATAGAGATAGTGCTTTGACTTGTTAAATAATCTCAGTGTAATTTTACTACTGAACTTCAGTAGCCAGCTCCAAACAGGAAGTGTCCTATAATTACGGCGCGTAAAACCATTTTTATACTCCTAAGAGTTTCAGAATGCTATTTGCTCAATAAAGCGTGAAATTGAAAAAATATAAAATATTATTTTAGCTGTATAAATGAATATTATTTTAGCTATGCAAATGTTAAGTATCTGTAGGTAATATCAGATCTGTACAAACTGAATTATAGTGTAAAAACGTGCAATAAACAAACTATATTTTTTTCCTGTTAAAAAGTTAGTCAAAACTTGACATACTGGTAAAAAATATTTTATTCCTAGTTTATGAGTTATCTTGTCGCCTAATATGTTTATCGTATAAGGAATTCCTGATTATGTGTTTCCGGACAATAGGCGCAAAACTGGATAAAGTTATGAATTTGAATCCCTGTAATATTGTATTTAGAATTGTATTTAGTCTTAAAGAGATTTTTAATGATTATTCATTTACCCTGCAAATTGATCAGAAGTAAATGAAATAGGTTGCCGATGCCGGAATGAGATACAGGGATGTTGACAATTTTTTTTGTTGTATTCTGTTACTAAACCAGCTTCTAGCTGAGAAAAAATAAGATAATAATTTTGAAATGAATGGTCGGGTCAATAGGTATAGATGATGAACTTTTCTGCATTGTCTGGGTGTTCTATGTGGTACCTACGTTGTTTAATATTTTCACAACTTATTTGGCTTCATCACATCATCATCATCACCAGCTCTTTTACGTCCCCACTGCAAGGGCTCAGGCCTTCCTTATTGATGATTAAATAGGATGGGCCATGACCCTCCACGCTGGCCCAATGCGGATTGGAGAATATTAACGACTGCAAATGCAGCCGGGACCAACGGCCTAACGTGCCTTCCGAAGCACGGAGTAGCTCGAGATAATAATTTTTGGTCACCCATCCCGTGACCGACCCTTGCGAAAGTTGCTTAACGACTACGATCGCGGGCCGCGGCGCTTATCCACTTCGCCACCGAGCTACCTCTATCAGTCTTAGCTACTTAATATTTGGCTTAGCTACTTAATTTATGATCTTAGCAATTAATGTAATGTCGTCTGATTTTTTAGAAGCAAACGCTTTCATTATTTTTGTTTCGTTTAATAACTAACATATCAACAAAGTTTTCGTGCTATCGTCTTGTAGTCTGCTATCGTCAACCGACATGTACGGGGACTAAACTATACTACAACCAAGCCCTAATGATTAATTGTTGATTTCCTTTCAGCGATGGCTCATGTCAGTCTTTCAACATATTTGTCAGTTGTTACCGAGGGACACGAAAATAGACAACATTTAATGTTGGGATAAATTACTCTGAAGTTTTTGGCAATAGCAGTTGATAATTGATGTCATGAGTATGCTATCGTAATAATGTTCAAATCACTATATTTATTAAATTGATAAGAGCATTTGATACAAAATATTTTTTTTTTTCATTTAATTTATTAATTCAGTATAATTTAACAATGCATGTATATTTAATTGGATAAAAAAGTTTTTGCTTCTGGGGCAATACTGCGAACAATCTATATTCGATTAATTGTCGTGCCTTTTCTCATATTTTTTATGCATCGAATAGTTTTTGTAAAATAATTATGTATTATTAGCGAACGAAAAGGTTCCGCATTATTTAGACTGATATGTTGATTGCCTTATAACTATTGAAAGCGTAGCTACGTACAAACAATACTTATTGGGAAGATGGTCAGCCGGTACTAGGTGTCCATGTGTCAACTAAATTCCCATGATTTTGATAAATTTTTCTCCCTTATTCTGTAGCCGAGTAGTTTACGCGCCGGCTTCAAATTGTTACCATTTCTGAGGTCTTGGGTTGGATTCCTGGATGAGTCAATGTATAAAATTGTTGAGGACAAAATAATGATATAATTTTTGATAAAGATATTATTTATTAATATAAAATATAAAATTAAAGGAGAAATCATGATATAAACAAAACTTACTGACCCGGAAAAAGTTGTTTAGCAATATAAATTTGAGGTGGACCACCCTTATAAATCAGGGGTATAAAAATAGATTATTAAACAGCCTATTCTCAGAGCTACTGAACATACAAAAAAAATAATTAAGATTGGTCATGTCATTTCGTAGAGAATGGTAACTAAAGCTGTGACATGACAATTTAATATATTACGTAGATATATTTTTTACAGCGAAAGATTATCGGTCAGTTGCACTAACGTCCATTAAAGTTTAATGATGCCTTTAAGCTCTAATGAATGTCTAATTTGTATAATATCGCTCTAAACTAATGAAAATTTTAATGGACGTTTGTGCAATTGACTATGAATACCTGTACAAAATTTGGGCACCTCAAAGAACATCATCATCATCAGCCCTTTTACGTCCCCACTGCAGGGGCTCAGGCCTTCCTTATGGATGGTTAAGGAGGATGGGCCATGACCCTCCACGCTGGCCCAATGCGGATTAGAGGGTATTAACGACTACAAATGCAGCCGGGACCAACGGCTTAACGTGCCTTCCGAAGCACGGAGTAGCTCGAGATAATAATTTTTGGTCACCCATCCCGTGACCGACCCTTGCTTAACGACTACGATCGCGGGCCGCGGCGCTTATCCACTACGCCACCGAGCTACTCACGCCACCGAGCTACTCAAAGAACGCGGTAACGATAATCCTGTTATTACAAGATTACACAAGTTAGGATAGTTTTTCACAAGTACCTTTTTATAACTACTACTTTTATAATTAAGCTTGTTTGATAATGGCTGTTTATAATTTGATACACATTTACGTCGTAAATCATCCAAGTATTATAATTACTTTATAATAATTCGTAATTACGACGGAAACATGTTGTTTTCCTGTCACATACATTTCACTAGGATTGGTATGATTAAAATTGCTTAACATTTTCATAGGCACTTTAATCGTTGATTAGAATAAATGTCGGACAACAGAATGATGAAACTTATATACAACTTGATATTTTATGAATATTCTATATTCACCAATAGAGGTCAAGATTCAGTTTTCGTTTCTTATTTCTATTTTCCCAGTGAAATGAAATGAAATGAAAATGTTTTTATTCAAGTAAGCTTGTTACAAGCACTTTTGAATCGTCCATAAATATTTTTTCGCCTACCACTTGTTCAGGACGTCTTTTAGCTGACAAGAAGAACAAGCGAAAGAAACTTACCAGCTTTTTATCATAAGTAATGACATTTACATAAATCATGTCATTACCAAAATAATATATATATTGAACAATAATAAGTACAAGTTTCAAAGTCTGTAGGACATAGGTTGGAATATTTAATCGTTACATACCTATAATTAATCGTTATAGAACAGAGCGAAAGCTATTAATTCCATGCAAAATAATCACAAGTCCTTAAAATAATCATCAATTTTATAGTCCACACTCGATATGGTTGGCTCATAAAATTACCAAGCATTATTTGTGCAACACTATTGAACAGGCAGCACTGGTACTAGCAATCAATGTTAGCGCTTCGGGTTTACTAAATAATAGTAAAAAAATCTTTTATTAAAATATTTATTAAGCAAAAGCAGTGTGTACATACTGTTAAAATTTCACACACTAAGTCGTTAAAATTTCTACCTCAAAATAAATTGAACTGTTTTGTAATTTTTAATAACTTGTGCATATTATTATTAGGATAGAAATAAAGTGAAGCGATGCTAAGCCGATATTAGAGCTATTATTTATAAATAATACTTCAAACATTTTCTATACGATGAAAAAAAAATAAAAATCATTGATTCTTTGTTTTATATTGCAACGCGCCAATTTGCATCAGTTACAGTCAATCAATTAACAGTTCTGAACTACTTCGAAATGGAATAAAAACTCATGAAAATAGGTGAATATTTTTATGAGTTTTTATTCCGTTCCATTCCCTAAACTGTTTGAAAAAAAAAATAAACACAGGAATAACGGACTTTCATTCAATATTATTTCGCCGAAAAACAGAGTATAAAAATTTAACTAACAATAATTTGAACTAAGAATAAATAAAATAATATAGGAGGTATAATAAATATTAGATACGACATATGAAATGCTAGGATCACACATCAAGTAGCTTTTAAGAATTGGTTGAAGAAAATCCGAAACGGGCACCTACCACGGCATTTTTCATAATTATATCTTACTAGTTTTCGCCAGCGGCTTCGCACGCGTGGTCCCTAAGGAAATATATATTATGGGACAAAAAAGTATCCTATTATCTAGGTCAGCTAATACCCTATCTTTATACCAAATTCCATCAATATCCATTCAGTAGTTTTGGCGTGATTGACGGACAAACATCCAAATAAAGAAACTTTCACATTTATAATATTAATAGGATAACTGAGAAGAAAAACTAAAAATCGGCAAGTAAATTTTCTGCCTTAGATTGGGTATAAAAGGTTGGGTTTTATATAAATATAACAAATAATATATTTCAAATAAAGGTTTTAACTATTTTGTAAAACAAAGCAACCACAAATAGTCTCTTTTACAGTTTCAGTACTAGGTAATTAAACTTCATTAAAAATGTTGTGAAACGCTCTAACTCTCTAAAATGTTCAATACCAATTCGAAGTTCGTAATTGTAATCCAAATATAAATTAGGAAAAATTTATAAAATCAACAAAATTTTATCATTCAAACCCGCTTCGTTATGTAAAGACGAAAATTATTAAAAAAATTAAAATAGTAATTAACTTTTTTTAAATGTGGGCATAGGAATATAAGTAGTAATTATTATTTTTTTGACTTTTCTATCTTTGAAAACTTCACGTGGAACTCGACAAGCCTTTTAACCCTTAACTGGTGACAAGCGGTCTCACAGGCCGAGCGTTGTTAGTGATACTTAATTTCACCCCGTTCCC